ACTACTGCGGTTGCATTAACCTGGTTCTCATAAACAAACGAACTTATGTCACTCTTAAACTCTTACTCCATTTAAAAAAATGGGTGGAGAAAATCCTGTTCAGGTGAAACTTAAGCATTTCCTTCAGAAAAAAGAAAGTGTGAAATAAGAAGGTCAAACTGGATTTGCTAAATAAGCAGAGCTTTGTGATATTTGCAAAACATTTACTAAGTTTTAGACCTGGAGATGAGCTTTGTCATTGTATAATAGTTTATAATCCTTTCAAGTGAGGGCTGGTACAGAACTGTGTACAAACTACATAAATATGTGAGTTCTGGTTGTGCTGTTGAAGTAGGTGTTCTCGAATGCCAGGCATATGCTTCCTTTATGGAGCCAATTCTGGTGTTGGAGAAAAGGACAATAATAAAATGCCAGGCATGTGCTTCCTTTATGGAGCCGATTCTGGTGTTGGAGAAAAGGACAATAATAAAGGACTGTAGGCAGGAAAGCTGTACAGGAATAAACTGCCAGTGTTCACTGGGAGAGAAGATGCCCAGCTCAGCCCTGTGTACTTTTTCCCCAGCTATGATTTTTAGGACGTGCTTGTCTTCTGAAAGCCAGGAAAATAATTTCTTTTAAGCTTTTGCTTGAAGCTACTGGAGAGAAAGCCAGCAAAGGTAGAAACTGCTTAAAAGTGATGAAAGCTATGGATTCTTTTGTTATAAATTGACTCAATGCTAAAAGAAGACAACAAAAACCAAATTTAGCTTGATCTCTCCTTTACATAAGAACAGATGAAGACCTTTGCAAGCATCTAACACAATGTATGTTGTTTTCAACCACTTGTTATCCAACATGGATGCGCTCTTGCATTTTAAATGTATTGGTTTTGTGCAGATGTTTTTGACACTGGCTTCACTTTCTTTTCTGTAGTAACAGGGGGTATCACAGAGGAACAATTTCAGACACATCAACAGCAGTTAGTTCAAATGCAGAGGCAACAACTTGCTCAGCTTCAGCAGAAACAGCAATCTCAGCATTCCTCACAACAGACACATCCAAAAGCACAGGTACTGCACCTTAAATGTTGTCATGTGCTGATATCTTCCTTTGTGTTTACTGTGTTTTTCATTGCTCTTGTAAGCTAAGTATCACCTCAGTAAATATGTTAAATTTTAGAATGAGTGTAGAATGCTTTCTGTCAAGATGCTTTTCCAGTTTGCTGTATACTGCCCGAAAGGCAACTTACAGTGTAGCTAGTACAGATATGTTGCTTTCATTTTTCTATTTGGAATGAGATAGTAATTTTAAGTTTCAACATCAAAACTTGGTTTGTTTTGTTTTTAAAGCTATATAGCATGGCTGCATTGTAAACGTTGAGTAAGAGGCTTCATATTTTGATGTCTTAATTGCGTCCACAGAGTCGGTCAGTGTAGAAATAGCCAGTGCTCTGTCAAGTCATACTGTTTTCACTGTTTTTGTCTTCCTTTGTACAAGTGCTCCGAAGAGACTTCTTTATTAAAACTACTTTATGAGGTAGCGTGTTCCGTTATGAACAGATGTTCAGTGAGTAGTAAAAATTGGTAGCTTCTGAGAGGAAAAATGTAGTTTTACATATTTAATTTGATTCCTTTTGGCTCCCCATCCCCAGTGTTACTACTTCCATCTTCTAAAAGAATCACATTTTTCCTCTGTAATGCCTTGCAAGGGAAGAATATATGGTTTTCTCTTGAGCATAGTTTTCTGTTAGTTTCTTACCAAGAAACTATAAACGCTGTTGCTGTTGTCTATTAGTAGGAAAACTTATTTTACTTTGAGCATATTATATCTAATTGACAGTGCTGTTTGTCCCTTCCCCTCAGCGTTTTCTGCTTTGATTAATCAGGGCTTCTGTATTGGTGGTTACTGATTACATTTTTAGTAAGTGTAAAGACAGGATAACCAGAATATTTAAACAAAAGGAATGAATTTTGAATTTTTAAGAGACTCTGAATGTCTATGCAAAGTCATTTTCTTAGTTTAATATAAATTGAGATTGCAGAATGATACATTGAGCCATTTCAGGGTGTCTTTCCAGTACCTACGATTCTTTCAGAGAAACTGGACTCATAGAAGGCGCATACTTTCAGAATGCGGTGAACAGTTATGCTGTGGTACAAATTACTCCGTGAGAATGAATGTACCATAATTACTGCAAATTCTTTAGACCTGTGGTCGCAGTGTATTTCCTGCCTGGAGACAGAGGAGAGATTTCAGTTTCACTTATTGTCAGCCTGCTTTTCTGTTGCAAAGATTGCTCTTCAGTTTTGGGGTTCGAGGAGCTCAGTAGTCGCCAAGTCCTGGGAATCATCATAGAATCACAGAACGGTTTGGTTGGAAGGGACCTTGAAGCCCACCCAGTTCCAACCCCCCTGCCATGGGCAGGGACACCTCCCACCAGACCAGGTCACTCACAGCCCCATCCAACCTGGCCTTGAACACTCCCAGGGATGGGGCAGCCACAGCTTCTCTGGGCAACCTCTGCCACTGCCTCACCACCCTCACCGGGAAGAAATTCTTCCCAGTATCTCCTATCTAAACCTTCCCTCTCCCAGTTTAAAGCCATTGTCCCTTCTTCTATCGCAACAGACCCCTGTAAAAAGTCCCTCCTCAGCTTTCTTGTCAGCCCCTTTAGGTACGGGAAGGCTGCTCTAAGGTTTCCCCGGAGCCTTCTCTTCCCCAGGCTGAACACACCACATCATGGAGGTGATCTGTGGTGCCAAGAACTGCATTTGCTGTTGGCTGGCTGAATCGGGCAGGACTTACTCAACGCTCATTTGGACGCTAATTTTCAACGTTTGATCAGACTTGTGATATGCAGATATTTAACGTTATGGTGCATTAGATTATATTTAGAAGAGGTATTTATTTATTTGCTGGCAATTGTGCATTATAGCATTGCTAATGTGGTATTTCGTTTTGTAGTTGGATAATTATAAAGAAAAAAATTTTATTTTTTTTTTATTCCCACAGGGCTCCAGCACCTCTGACTGTATGTCAAAAACACTTGATTCAGCCAGTGCCCACTTTGCTGCATCTGCAGTGGTTAGTGCACCTGCTCCTAGTCGCAGTGAGGTAACGAAGGAACAAAACACCAGCCACAACAATATTAATGGTGTTGTCCAGCCTTCAGGTGATGATTTCTTAAAACTTGTGGTCTAGTGTGAGCTGAGAAATGTCAACTGATCTGATTTCTGATTTCTAAAATGCTATTTAACAAACAAAAAAATCAAATATATTAATTGTAATACTTTTAAATATTGTTCTTTAAAATACTTCTGGGCAATGGCATGTAGGTTAATATGACAGTAAAACTACCAAATGCTCTTTTACATTGGAAGAGCATTGTTTCTGTTTTCTTTTGAAGGCTTTTATCTTTTAATAATCTGTTATCATCAAAAGCATAAGTGACAGCATTTTAGAAACAGAGTGAATGTGTAATTAAAAATAAACCAATTGCTTAAAACCTTGTTAAGGACTTTGAGAAGGAAATAGAAAAGTTGCTATGTTATTTGGTCATTATCTCCCTTGCGTATTCAAACAAAAACATACTAATCAACTACTTCTGGCAATTCTTTTGACATTACTGTAAGTTTCAGGTTTCATTGCATTTAGGATTCATCCGGAATTCAGGCAGAAGTGTAGAGGTTGGCATTCACTGCCTTCCCTCCGCCCCTCTCCTTTGTAACGTCCATTCTGAGAAGGCAGTAAGGCCAGTCATGCTGGTGCAGTAGCCACGTTGCCGAGAGACAAATGTTACTTGGCATTTGACTGCTATAACAAATAAAAGGCTTTTAGAGTAATTTGTTGTTTTAACAGCTAATGGTGTGATTAGCTTTATAGACCTTCTGCCAGGCTGGGTTAATGATAATATGAAATGAACAGAGGGAGAAAAACCACGACAGAATAAAATCAATATACTGGAACAATTCCAGAAGAGAAGACAACATCTGTGTATAATTCTCTAAGATCATATCTGAGAGGGCAATGTTTTGAGGGGTATAAGATCAGGCACATGGTAGTGTACCATGCCCATACACGGCAGACAGCTTTACAATTGATGAAAAGCATTGCAAATATTATGCATGTAAAATTAGACTTCTGTTACTGTTCTAAAGCTGTAAGTGGCAATGATGTAAGTAGCTATTCCTGTTTAGGATAGGAAGACTTGTACATTAGGAAATGTTAGCTGAAAGCAGATTTTCTTCAGGAATAAGAGTCTAGGGGAAAATGTATCTTCTTCCCCTGTGATCAAAAGCAGAACAGTGAATAGCTAGGATACCAAGGTGAACTTTGAGAACCACTGGTTTGACTATACACTGTGAAACCTGAAGTTTCTCCCAAATCAGGAGCGTGATCGGAGCACTGCAGCCTAATCTAAAGGAGTTCCCTACTTTGCCTAGTTTTAGACCCCTAGTTTTGCTGCCTTGAGAGAGACGGGTCCCCAGAACCTCTTTACGTTGCCAGCAGAACAAGGTAGGAGGTGAGGAGGTGATTTAAAGCATCAGAATTTGGCTTCCCAGTTGGTCTCTGAGGTTGCCAAGCTAAGGTGTTCCCCATTCAACTTACTTTTATGGGGAGTGTTGTCTCTTTAAGGCACGTGATGTGTTCAGAGTTAGGCAATATAAAAGGTCTTTGTCGTACAGTCACTTCTCTCACTTGCTGATGTTTTTGTGAAAGAAATATTTCTTTTTTTTCCAGATGTTAACTAGAAATATTTCTAAAATTTGACATTTTGTGAATTTTAAAAAATGGATTCTTGCACAATTCCAGTGACACATATACTTAAAGCATTATGCTTGCAGTTAATCTTTGGCTTTGAGTCTAAGGCATATTTTTAATTGGCAACATTTGTTTTGTAACAGGAACCTCTAGAACTTTGTACTCCACCAACATGGCTTTATCATCCAGCCCAGGGATTTCAACTGTACAGCTTGTAAGGACAGTTGGCCACACCACCACAAACCACTTAATTCCAGCATTGTGCACAAGCAGCCCTCAAACGCTTCCCATGAACAATTCTTGCCTGACGAACGCGGTGCACCTCAACAACGTCAGTGTTGTTTCTCCAGTCAATGTGCATATCAATACACGGACTTCAGCACCATCGCCAACAGCCTTAAAACTTGCCACAGTTGCTGCCAGTATGGACAGAGTGCCAAAGGTAACTCCTAGCAGTGCCATCAGCAGTATAGCCAGGTAAGCGCGCAGCAAGTTGGAGCAGTCTTAAGTTGTGTTTGTGGTGCAGAAATGGCTCCGTAGATGTGCCCAGCTCTGCGCTAGAGCCCTAAATAGAATCGTTTCCACCTCTCTGAGACTTCTCGGGATAGCTTCAGCCTCACAAAAAACATCCAGCTGCTGGCATCTTCAGCGTGGCCATGACAAACTGCAAGAGCTGATTTTGCAGATTAACCCGCAAATAATTGGCACTGATTTTAGGCACAAGTCGTTTTGGTAAACTTCCATTGTGTTTAAAACGACTTCATTTTAACCATTTCCGTTTGTCCGTTCTCATGCAGCACTTTCAGGTAGATTCTGTCAAACTCTCCACATGTTCTCTCCCTAACTTTGTGTACCCCTATTGTAAGATGCAGGCTGGCACTTACCTATTTTATATATACATATGGATATACGCCTAATATATTTATGAAACATATAAACCAGATATGTGCCAGTCTGTGTGTTACAGATATTCTCCTTGAAGAGCAGCACTGTTATTTCAGGATACTTGGGAGATGTTTCACAGGAGAGGTGGGAACTTGCGGTTGGCTAAGTTTTCTGAAAATTACAATATTTGGGCTTTGTTTTAAATCTCTGCTGGATTGTATGATGTTTAAAAAAAAAAAATTCACATTTGTTTATGAATTAGAAAAGTAAAAAACGGATATTGGCAAATGTGGCTTACTGATGATTTCATAATGCTTCTAGAGAGGTTAAAAAGAGCTTTTTGAGATGGAAAATTGCATGTATAATTTAGTTACTGCATAGGTTGAGAAAAAGATGTTTTTAAACTGGCAATCATGCCTTAAAGCATGCTTTTATATCACTAATGCATTTAGTTCTTATTTCCCTCAAGTCAGAGGGGTATTTCAAGTCATGTCAGCAAATGCCATGAAAAGTACCACCTTAGCTGAATAGGTCTTAGGCTTCTCTACAGAGAATGATAATAAACTAGAAAAACATTTCAGATTTCTTGCCCTAGTGCTAAAGTGGAATTTGGGGTGGTGGTGCGGAAATTGTATTAGAACAATGCTTTCCTCACCAAGAGAATAACTGAGTCATCACGGTCTATCTTGACGTTGCTCCTTCAGGAGACCTTTTAGTACTCTTACCCATAATTCAGGCTGGTAACTTACAGTTAAATGCAATAATCTTGTAGAAGGGACTGTGCTGTTAGTGGCGTAAAAGCAGTTCTTAAATGCCAGTATTTAGTTTTCAATGATCTGTTTCTAGTGTATATGTTAAGGTTTCTCCCTGATCCAGGTTAACAGGTGTGTTAAAACACGTAGCGCCTGTAAGAAATGATGAAAGCTGCGTAAGGAAGTACTCATGTTCTGCCTGTAACTATGGAATATTTCTTTTATTGCAGAGAGAACCATGAACCAGAACGACTGGGTTTAAATGGCATAGCAGAGACAACAGTAGCCATGGAAGTGACATAACCTCAAACCCGTGTCTCAACCTGTGCTAATGGTGTAGTCATTTATATTCCGACTGAATGCAAAATACAGCGCTCTGTGGATCACAGAGAACTGAAATGGACCTAAATGGACTATCATTATATCGTGTATTAAGTCGATGTATAATGTAAATTTTGTAAAATTGGGAAAATCACTACCTTGTAAAATAGTTTATTTGTATCATCAATATTATTTCTGTTACTTGAATAGTAGATATTCATCATCATGCTTTTGCACTTGAATTTGCAACTGAATGGATTAAAAAATAATTCTTTAATGGGATCATGAGCATGAAATGGGATCCTGCATCACTTGTTTTAACTATTTATTTTGCCATGTTTACATTTTGTATCTTGTACAAATAAATCCAACTTTGTGTCTAAAAAAAAAAAGTTAAAGATTCATAGCTAGGAAACAAAATTCTTGTAATTTTTTTCTAAAGGAAATGTAAAGTTTTCACTTGGTTCATTTTGTTTCACAATTTGACTAGATGGACTTTTTGGTAAATACTTTAGTGGCATTTCACTGTCAAATATGAAGTTCAAGGCAAAATAGTATTTTCTATTACTGTGCAGGGGAAAGGGATGGATCGATACATGCAAATTTAATGTAGTAACTCACTTTTCCATATATTTTGAATGTATATTTCTATTTATAATACCAGTTTATAAAAAATAATTACACAGGAAAAAAAACTGACTAGGAAAATTATGCATCTAGCACATATAAAATTGTGCAGATACAAGAAAATTTTCAACTGATTACATTTTATCTGAAGACTGCATATTTTAACCGGCTTTAAAACTGTAACACACCACATAAAGGATATTTTACCAGGTATGTATTGCATTATATATCATTGCAATAATTAATTATTGGATGTCTAGATATCGAGCCATCCCAGGCGGTGGGGGGGAGGGAGGGTTGTGGCAAGATTGTCTTTTCAGTTTTGGAGAGTTTTCCTGTGGCTACAAGGCAAGTAACGGGTTGGAAAAAGTCTGACTGTAAGCGTTGGACACCTTCGTAGTGTAGTGTTTTAGTGACTTTTTTTATACGGTTCTTGTAAATTAGATACGTGTAGTGGTGTTTCAGAATGTTTGTTTATGCACTAGTTCAGACAACTTTCCCTGTTACTTGTTCTTGATAAGTGAAAACTGCAGGGAAATAAAAATACATATCAAAACATGGACATGTTGCATATGTGTTTATTTCACAATGTGCAAGCAATGCAAGCGTAAATTTTAGAGGCTGTTAGTGGTCTTTTGATTATTTTGACCAAAGCGTAGGCACTTTTTTCCAAAAGGTGTCGGTTTATGTGATCCTTTCCTGTGCTTGCAGTATACGGTAGGGGAGGGGTGGTCCCGTAGTTGGGACCCAAGAACTAGCAATAATCAGGAGGAGACAGTTTCTGGTTTTGCCAAAGGAACTTCAGGTATTCCTTTGGGCAAATTGAATTTGAATTCTCTGCTGTTTGGTTCTCCGCTTGTAATTTGGATAATGTTTCTGTATTTCTTCTAAATCCTAGAGTCATTGAGGTTGGAAGGAACCTTGGGACGTTGTCTAGTCCAGCACTCCCCTCCTCCAAGAAAGTCAAGATACGATTTGCCTATATGTCATGCAGTCAGTGTATTTTTCCGCTTGGCTTTTTACATAAAGAGCTATTTTTAACCTAAGTTGTGTTTAAACATGTTTTGTCTTACGTGCCGTAAGTTAAAAGTTCTGATGGTTAAAAAACACTTGCAGAGCTTTAAATACCGGGAGCTTGTCAGAAACTCAGATGTCTAAAATGAACTAGTTTTTGCTTAACCGATGCTTCGTTTTCTCTTCAGTATGAAGTCCGCAAGGAGAGATGCTAATAGATTGTGCCTGTGAGAATAGGCAAAGGAACCCAGGACACTTCAGCGTGGCTGCCTTGGTCAGGGGGTGTCAGCAGGAGGGGGAGGCACCTTTGCATTAAGTGCATGCTCATTCATCGCTCTTTCGGCATCATGCCTTCGCCGGAACTGCTACTCCCTGACAAGTAGTGCTTTATGCGTACGTGATCTTTTCACCTGTGTCGAAGGCTTTATGTACAACTTGGTCATAGTCATTCCCAGAAGTGAACCTATGGAGTACATAGCACGAATGTATTTTTTTTTTTTTAATGAAAGCAGAATTGTTGCAAAACTGAGTCTGAAAAAAGAAAAAAAAGAAGTTATTCTCCTTGATACATAAAAATAACCTTGCTTCTCTAACATATCCCCTAAACCCTTTTGAAGTTTAATGAAAATGTGAAGTCATTTCTTCTGCGGATTGAAAGTTGTGCACTTAGCAAATGACAGCTACCGAGCTCTCTAGCACAGGCTCTTGTCACTACAAACATAGATCACTTTCATGGTAAATTGGACTGAAAATGTCTTTAAGATTGCTGTGTATCCACGGCTTGGTATAGTCTAATCCTCATCTAATTACTTAGAAGCTCCAGCTAAAGGTTTTTTAACTTTTAATAGATTCTGGAAAAATGTGAGGTGGAGAAATGAGTTTCATAAACTCCAAAGGCTATGATGGTAAGTGTGCCATATGTTGAATGAGTTTCATTTAAAGGATTAGTATTGATGTAGCTTTCTGTAAAGTACAACTACTATAATAGTCATCTTAAGAATTTCTAGCAATTATTTGTGTGCCTCAAGTGCAAGAAAAGGTGGGTGATGGAAGAATACTGTAGTCCATAGAAAGCCTCATTTTAAAAAAGAGGGAGGGAGTGGTGTTAGAAAGCCGCCTACTTTCTGCTGATACTGGTATAGAGCAGGGAGTACCAATGACTGAGTTATTTCTGTGCGCTCTTTTAAAAGATATGACACTCTTACTTTTTTAATTCCCTTACTTGAACATCATGCCTGTCTGCAATATGATTTGAATAGTGATTTCTGGTTTGTTACGTATTAGGGAATGTTGTTCGGGTAGGATTTTTGAATGTTTATCTACAGCAATTTATATTGGATTTCAGGTGTAATGTGCAGAGTTTTCCCTTAAATGTCAGATACCAGAAAATGATGATTCTTTTCTAATAAGGTTTATCTAATTTATTTAATTTATAGATTGACTGGAGTTTTGGTGTGTGTTTAATTTAGGCATCTTGTTCCTAATTCTGCTGTAGGGCTTTTCCTTCTCTTTCCAAACAATATCTAAACAATAGCCTGTTCTGTTGACAGAGCTGTCCCTTTTCTTTACTCCTCTGCAGTAGACTGTATGTGGGGGGGTTTTCCCCCCAGCCCCTACAAACAAGAAGACGGTTACCACAGCCCCTTGCGATTTTCCTGAGGCTCTGATTTGGAGACTCCCTTTCCTTCCCTGATAGTCCATTTTCCTCTGCTACCTCCAGCTCCTTCGTAGAGAATAACAGAAATGTTTCCTTGTTACAGCAATTGTGATTTTTGAAGGAGAATCCTCAGATAGCGCAGCCTTCCGGGAGGTGACTGATTTATCCTGAAGTGGACTTCGGCATCATGCTCGCAGCTAGTCAGCCTTCCTCTCAGTTTCCAGTGCCATTCAGGAAGAACTGCTCAGACCTTCAGAATAGCGTGTCCTGGTAGGAATTCTTCAAACAGGAAGGCCCTGAAGGCTACAGCAAACCGAACGCTCTCCATACAGGATTGTCATCTCAGTGGACTTCCTGGATTTGAGCAGAGAGAAGCGGTTTCAAATCTCACTTCCCTCTTTCTTTCCCTTTTAGGTTTTGCAGTATTCAGGCTTATTCTTAGAAGGATGGAGAGTAACCTTCATAAATTGAAGCATGTCTTCACAGTAAACTGCTACTTGGGAAAGAAGAAAAAAGGAAAGGCACCTTTGTAACAGGGAGAGGAAATGTTTACTGCGTAGCAGCAGACCCAGGCAATAGAAGTTGACTTAGCTATTAAGATCCAAGTGTTTACATTTGAACAAAGCACATGGAAGATAATTGTTTTTCTTCTGATCTCACCAGCTAATTATGTGGAAAACATTAGATACAGGCAATTGCTGTCGGTGAGCCAAAGCAACCCCCGGGTCAGTTTAATCTCCCAGGAAAGCCATCCAGTCCAGTCGCCCTGGCGAGAGCGGAGTGTCGGCGTGTGGAGCCCCGCTGTGGAACCACTTGTACCTGGGAAGCTCCCTAAAGCAGGCAGCTGCTTGGAAGGGGGTTTCTTGGGAAAAGACCAGGCGGTTTCAGGGTAAGGGCAGTGTTACTTGAAGCCAGGGCACACTGTGCATGAGGAGGTGGTAGGGACTTGGGGGTCGGTGAGGTAGCAGATCCGCAACGAGGGCTGTTGTGCTTCCCGGCACCTTGTACCATAACTGCATTGTCTGGAGTTTCTCATTCTGGGGAGCCTGTTGGTTGTAACAGAGGTCAGGTTGTAGATACCCTGCTACGCTGCCCTAGCCCCCGCAGAAATAAAGCAGCCTTCCAGCTATTTGCAGAGTGCCTAAACGCATTTAATGGCAGCGTTTCTCGTGTAGGCCAGTGATAATGTGTGAGAAGAGCATGTGTAGGAAACGGGAATACAGGTGATTTTCTTTACAAAGCTTTACTTAAATGTCCAGAAAGAGAACGTAATACTGATTTCATTCCTGTGTGGTAAGAAAGTCCACTGGCTCCTGTGAGTTTGAAGCAGGCTGCAGTTCTGACTCGTGCGTTATTCTGTCCTTTTAAGCACGCAGCTCAGCAGGTAGTATACTGGTGTGTCCTGTCCTGCTGCTAGTGAATACAGAGCTGCCTTAAAGGAGTGACTTCAGAACCCTTCCAGGTCACTTCTGTGAATTGACTGAAGGTAGCTGCAGCTTGCATCTTTGCTGGTTGTGTAAGGGAAAACCTCAGAATACCAGGGTCCTGCTTGCAGGAACGCCGCAGCAGTGTCTGAAGCTGGGTGATGTGAAGTTCTCGCTTGTCCCTACGTGGGTTTGATTGCGTGCCGTCCTGCTGCAGTGGCAGTCGGTACACAAAGTGACATTCCCTAATGTGAGAACGTTTGTTTTTCTGAAGTGCCTTTCTGTTACACAGGAGGAAAAGGGAGTTTCAAGTTAAGTTCCTAGTTTTCTCAGCAACTCGCTTCTTTCCGAGTCAACTAGTGTATCTGGAACTGCAATCTTTTTTTTTTAATGGTATAATCTCAAAAAATTAATGAAGAGCACCCATGCAAGTTACATTTTGCTGTGAATTTAACCCGATTTAATCACAGTCTGTATTGTCACCCAGTAGCTATAGTTTAAAGGGAAAGAAAAGTAGTTGGAATAGGACTAAATCTGAAAACGAAAAGGGAGTAACAGTGGAGCAAGGGAACTGCTTCCTGAACATCGGCTGTGTCTGCTCCTCAGTGGCTTTGTCCACTCCTTTCTCTGAGTATCAGCATCACCTTCCCGTTCTCGCTCCATACCTCGTCATGTTGAAAGTGGTAGTCCCTGAACCAACTGCAAAAACTGTGCAACCCTGCATCCCTCCTCCATCTCAGGGCGAGTGGATGTGCTGGCATGACAAGGCACGATGGCCCAAAATCTCCCGTGCAGAAAACGAGAGGTGTCTTGAGCCCTATGGGTGTGCCGGAATAGCCTTTCCCGTGTGTACCCCAGTTATGCTGCTTTTTTTCTAAAGTTTGTTTCTGTGACTAAGAATGGGAAAATCCGTTTAGTCCAATCTGGCTTCAAGCCATTACACACTGATTTAACTCTCATACAAATGTGATTACACACGGAGGATAACGTGGAAAGATCAATTAGAGAGCAAGGGGCAAATGAAGGAGGGAGGCAATTAATTAAGGCGCTACTACAGCAGATAATCATAAGAGAAAATTTGTTAACAGAACAGATACATCCGCCTGAATCCTTTTGTCTGATGAGAGTACGCAACCACTCCCTGAGAGTTCTGACAGGTAAAATGAAAGGCTCTGACCACAGCACCGT